TCAATGAGGCATTTGAACTCATTTGACAAAAGCTGATCCAAAGGACACCTTTTCTCCTGTGGAGCTGAAGGCAAATGAATGTAATGAGAGTAGCTTAGAGAATATAGAACATTAGAGATGGAGGAACTTGCATGTTGTTATGTAGACCCAAAGCTTGCAAAAATACAATCTTTTTATGTTTAGCAATATCTACTAAATTGTAATGGGGTATAACTATAGACTATAGTTCTGAAATAGAGCCAAACATGCCACTAATTCTGTAGTATTGTTGTTCTAAAATGCAAAAAAGAAGTTTATCCTCTTCCTACTTGAGGATCTGATCATGTTTTAGAATAGTTTCTCTTGTAGTATGCCTGATTTATCTTCGAATTCCTCTACCTTGTATTTCCCAGTGCCTCTTTCCTTGAGATGTAACAGTTCAGATGCATGTAGAAATATGTCACCTATACCTTCGATTGAATTATATTTCTGTATTGTTTATGAACTTACTGTGCATTTGCAATCATTATTAATAAATCAATGTGCTTTTGTCTTCTGTCACAAAGTAATGTATGTATTCAAAAAGAATTGTATGCAAAACAAGTAATGTTTTAGAACTCATATCATTAATAATTATCAGTTTGCAATATTGTTGCAACATGTTTTGAGGGAAGCTTATTATAAAAGAAATAACAAGGCACTGCACAGTAGCAAGAATAAGACAGTTCAGTTGATCACTGGTATAGGTGTTATAAATATGCCAGTCTCTACTATAGTGTTTTATTAAGTCTCAAAAAGTCAAAGCTGATTTGAAATAATAATGTCTGACAGTCAGTGCTTTGAAGTTTTGCTGCTGCACTCTCACATTTAGGCTTTCTTTTATGTATGACTTTACCATAAAAAACAAAACCACACACACGGCATGAACGCCTTTTTTTTCATATCTGTATTTCAAAGAAAGTAATAGGGGGCTACTTCAGTGAATTAAAAGAAAAAAAAAAAGGAACAACCCCCCCAAATCGATGAGAATAGGTGGAGGCCTCTGTAAGGTCATAGACTATTCATGTAAGCTATAGCTGGGGTTGGTAACTTGTTGAAGACTGTAAAAGTGAAATTAAAAAAAAAAAAAAAAAAGGGAATAATAAGGAAGGGACAAGAGGCAAAAGCTATCCTTGATAGGAACAAGATGACTTTCATTCAGTCGGAAGAACTTGAGAGCTTGGCTGTGATAGCTAACACACTCATTCTTCATCACCGGTCGTGCAACAAAGAGCTGGATTCCATCCATTCCATGACTGATTGATTACCCAATGGACAAATGTTAATTCTTTTCATCGATGCTTTGTCATTGTGGAGAGATCCTTTTCATCTAACACCTAGGCTTTTTTTCCTCGGCTTTTTTTTTTTCCCCTGCCTATTTATCTTTTAACATCCTCTTCTCGTTCACCTTCTCAAAACTGTCATGTCTAACAAGATTCTCACAGTACTTTAAACTCCTTTAGTCTACAATTAAAATTGCTAACAAAGTATGTAATAAACTGTAATATTAAATACTACTCGATGATTTCATTTAGTCATCTCAGTCTAATTATACTTAACCTGTTTGCTGTCCTTGAAAGAAAATTTTTCCTAGTTCACAAGAGAAGAATATCAAGGATGAGATGCTGTGTGTTGTTAATATAATAAATTGCTCCAGTGCAACTTCACGAGTTTGATCTTATGTGTGTCAGTACAAAATATGCTATTTTGCGGCATAAACCCAACTGTGGTTTATAAAGTCAGTGAGAAGAGCTAAAAATGTATAAATGCTAATTTCTTTCTTTGCTTCTTTTATAATTGTCTTTTTAACAAGAATACCCCTGAATTTTGAAAATGTCGAGATCCACAAGGTTTTGGAATGGTTCTGAAGCAGAGCCCGAGTGCAGGGAGAGTGATGCAGTGCAGATGTGAATTTGGGCTTCTTCAATGTTCAGTGCTGGATTCCGAGTCAACGTTCTGTTTCTATAATGAATCAAACCAGAAAATGAATCAATGTGGATGAAGACATTTTACTGATGTCAGAAGATATCTTTGTAGATTTTATATGTATGTAAAAATTAATTTTCAGTACAGAAAGAAGAAAAAATCCCTTTCTAATTCACAAACATTTTCAAAATGTGTGTTTGTGAACAGAGAACACAGAACTTGAAGGGAGACATGCCTTTCAAGTATAAGCCTTTATATTTAGTTTCGTGTCTAACGTGGAGGACCTCCAGAGAGCTTTAATACGTATCATTATTTTAAATTCTAAATTTTGCAGATTAAACCTGCTAATTGAAAATTTACAGGAATTTCAAAAGAGCTACTTCTACAATATTATAAAAACATTTATTAAAAGGCTCATTGTGTGTTTTTGTAATCTTCCCAATAAGAAAACATAGTAGCTATAAATTGTGTGGTCAGATCTATAACATAGAGTTTGAATGAGACAGGGGTGTTTAAAGAAATGTTTCTTAAGGAATTTTTCAGTCATTTATAGAGATAAAAATTGTAATTACCAATGTGATTATATCAAAAAGAAGGCACACAGATAGACCTGTTTTCCATTCCAGTTCTTTCGCAGTCTGTCTTTAGAAATATTTTTTTTGCCCTTATGTAATATAGGAACACTACAGGTAAACATGGGTGTCCTTAAGAACAGTAAGAGAAGAAATAAAGCAAGTGCTTTTGAGGAAAGTATTTTATCAGCCCCTGTGATATTTTAATTGTTTCTTTTTTAAAATGTAAATGTTTTTCCTTCTTTGTATGAATTGAGGAAAAAATCTTAGTTTAAAAGCAGTAACCTATAGCAAACATCAAAATAAAACTCTAGAGCTCTTTTTTTTTTTCCAGGGATGAGGGGTCTGAAATTTTGGCAGGGGAGAAACACAGAAACATCTTTTTAAACTAATGATGATATCACAAAAAAGGACAAATTATAATGTTCTATTGATAATTGATGGTTATTTCTTGATTCTTCTTTTATCAGGCCAGAACTCATAAAAGTAATAAGTGCCTGTTATTGTTAAAAGTAAATTGTTATTATATAACAAATATTTTAACACTGCCTATTGCAACTTACAGCTCCTTAATTTTGTCTCTTTCGTAGAAAGATATAATTAGTAAATAAATTAGCTTTTCTACTGAAATATTACTTCAAAAACATTTACGAGCTGTCTTGTCTTTCCATGGAGGCTTGCACGGTGAAAATGTGTTGCAATTAAAACCTGATCTTTGATCTTTTGGTAGTTACAGTTTGGTTTGCTTTCAGCTGGTTTTAGGGCTTGCTTGTTTGTTTGTTTGTTTCTTTGTTTCAAAGAGGTGATGCTTATGTGAATTTTTAGGCTGAAACTACTTGCACCCTAAAATGTGATTGGCCATATGACCTTTTTCTTCCTTAAACTTCTCCTTAAATCTTTAACTCCTCCTTTCGTGACCTCTTTGAATGCTTCTCCTCCCTCTGAGTATTTTTAGAATCTTCTGAGGTGGAACAAACTGTTACCCGTTGCATTGGTGCGATCTGTGTTGCCATTCTTAATCTGGGTTTTTTGCTTTTGTTTTCACTTGCGTGAGTGCTGCTGATGGGACTGCTGACGTGAGAATTTGAGCCACGATTTGTCCTTAATCAGCCAGTAATTTAGCAGAAGATATGTTAGGCTGAATTCTGCATTCTTGTACATCCCCGTGTTAATTCTTAAGTGACTGGAGTGGGATCAGTGCAAGTGTTGTCAAAATTTGGAACATTATTAGTTATTTAGAAAGCATTGTGTAAATTGATCTTCTAACACAAACAGCAACTTGCTATGAGAGTTTCTAACAAGCTAAGGTGTATGGCTATTCCCAGTGTATGCACTAGGAAACAACGTGCTCAGCATCACCCAGAATGATATATGGTCTTATAAGGAAGGCTCTTTGCAAAGATTCATTTTAGGAATAGAGTTGCATTTAAATAATGTTTTTGCTGTCTTGCTAAACTGGGCCTAAGGTTTTCCAGGGGGTTTAGCATAGACATTGTTGATGAGTCTGTCTACCAATGAAAGTAAATGCACAATGTTTAATGGACATCCTATTATTACTAACTGGGAAGGGAAAATAAGTGTTCAATTGTGTGTAAAGTTTTCTTGATAATTGTTTATAAATCTGGATTACGGTTCTTAAAGTCATAAAACTCTGGATCACCACATCAACCATAAGAATTCCCATCTTAAAAATCACTTTTTGTAAGTTATCTGGAAGGTTATGTATAATTTAGACTTCAGAGCCAATTAGTTTAATTTAGGAACTGAAAAAACCTTTAGATTTTATGGAAGTCTGTTATGCTCAATATGAAATTTTCTAGTGGAATTGGGGACGGATCATATGAAACTTACTAAGGCCAATCTTCTACTTTCTCCTAAGTGTAATGACTTCAGTGACAGTTTTGCCTACAGAAGGCCTCCCAGATTGGGGCAAAGATTTGAAATGTATTCTGAACTTCAAATTATGAAAGCATATCTTCTAATCATTGCATGTTGTTTATAGTGTACTGAGAAAATTTCTGATACTGTGAACATCCAATATGTAGAGTGCTTTTATGAATTCTATGGAGACATTATATGAATAACTTTTGCATTGACATGGGTATAAAAATGGGTTTCAGATGTCACTGTGTGCCAAATTTCCAAAAAAAGCTTCTAAATCTTCATGTATAATTTTGAGTGTACAATCATTCTCAAATGAAAAAGACAGAATTTGTATATACATTGGCAATCTATGCATGTAAATTGGCAGTTAGCATGCATAAATCCTGAACGAAGTTTTTCTTTCAATTAACTCCATTAACCTCGGTGGAATTACTTTGGATTTAAAATGCAGTTAAATGAGAACTCTGTTTGGCTACAAGTTCATTTCCCTTTGAAACTATGGTCCAAGTAGAACAGGGAGAAGAGTTTTAAAATGAAGGTGGCACCTGTTTTCCTGATGTGTGAGAATATATTTGGTAATTCTTTTTTTTTTTTAAATAGATTCATCCTGCATGGAAAAGCTACTTTCTAAAGACTGGAAGGAGAAGATGGAAAAATTAAACACGAGTGATCTCCTTGGAGAAATTAAAGGTATCTCACTAGATCAAATTTTAAATGTTTGCATATATTTTAAAAAGGGGATTGAGGATTTTTTAAAGTTCAGAAAAAATAATAGAAATAACAATCGTAAATAGAGGGTGCTTTCCTCTTTCCAGTCAACTCACCCTATTTTTTAATGTTTATCTTTGAGATGATGGATGCGTCTGCCAAATAAATAGAGTATGTCACAATCAGTTATAGGCAGTATCAAGGATGTTATTCCAAACACAGGGTTAGTTACCTTAGTTCATTGACATTAGCTGTATATCTCTGTGACCAGAGGAAGAAACATCTTGAAAACATAGAGTTACTAGTACTTGGTACTGTTTCTTCCCAGCTGCATAAACTACATGTAGAAACTGGTTTCAGACTATACAAGGGGGTGATTGTGTGATTACAGTTCTAAATCTTTGATTCAAAATTGGGGGGAAAAAAAATATTTGTTTATATTCATGCTATTCCTGCAGAGAAAGACCAGCTCTGGATGAAATTCGGGGCCTACTGAAATTAGTGCAAGTTTTATTGCATATATAGACAGTACTTTCCAGTATTTCCAAGATGTATTGAACCAGCAATCTAGTAAAAGTGGAATTCTCTTGACAATTAAGTACTATGTAGAAAACTCGAAGTGTTTTTCCCCACCCATCAATTCTTCCATGGATTTTCCTAGTGAGAAGAAATTCAGTGTTATTGATTAAGCAACAAATTAAAAAGGTGGTTTTTTGTGCTGTGAGAAGGGGTCATAAGGCATGTTTGAGGATTACACAAGGTACCTAAGATTTATTTCTCTTCATTGGTATAATTTTATTAAATAGCAACGACAAATATGCGGAAACAAGGAATCATGTGCATCATATTAATAAATCTTTACTAGTGTAAAAAAAAAAAAAAGAGAAAGATACTATTTGATGAAAGTTGATGCTTAGGGTTTTACATTTCCACTGGGGAAACTTAAGGTAGTTCAATTTTTTTATTATACAGCCAGGTGAAAGATTAGCCCTTTTTAATAAGTAAGTTATAACTGGTTCCTTCAGCTGATTCAGGACCAAAGTCTGTTGGATTCTCCTGTTGGATTTTTTTGGTAGAGTTATGGCAATGCTTATATATTAGGCAGGTAAGAAATCCTACAGTAATGTCAGTGGCAGAAATATAGTATGCAGTTTTACAGGAACATGTTAAAATTGACTGTAATAAAATCCAACAAAATTATGTCTTGAAATCACATTCTATTTAAAGCCGTATTGTCTCTTAATAGTGTGGAAAACATTGAATGCTAGTTTGTCCATTAATTGCACAATATAGCTACTTAGTCTTTAAATAGAAACTACTTGAATGCTATTAGTGAATCAAAATTAAAAGAGGTGGGATCTCTAACAATGCAGAATAATGTTCTTTATTCTTTTATATGGCATAAAAATCTTTTTCTTGAGCTTTCATTTATTAAAAAAAAGTTTATTTTTCTGGATTTATGTTATTCCCCCTATTTACTTAGTATGTATATTCACTGCAGAGTGAACGGGTAGAGTTCTTGCTCCTAACCCTTTTCTCGTCTACCTACAAAGCATTCTCACTCAGATTTGGAAGAATTTTCAACTCATTCAACTACCTTTTCTGCGGGTATAGCCTATTAGCTGTATAAAAAGCACCACCTAATTAGGCTCACCAGATTTATGTGTTGACAGTCATTCAGTTAGTTTCCACAACTTAGTTCCTGTGACTCATCCCTAGTAACCTATCCTTAAGTGTTCTTAATGTCTGCAGCATTTCTCTCTGCTACTAGTTGACTTCCAGCAAGACGCAATACTGAATCTTTGCTACTGCAACTGCATTTAACATTTTTCATGAACAGGCAAAAATACAAAAAAGCATACACAAACATGGAAGATGAATGATGGTTGCTGTTATGTTGTGCTTTACGCTTACAGTATTGAAACGTCTTGACAAAGACATTAGTGTCATTTTATAGAAGAAGAAAACAAGGTGCAGAGTTACATAGCAGGAGTAGTGGCAGGTCTGAAGTAGGACTCTTTTCCTTTGGGCTCCCAAGCCAGTGGCCTAGCCGCTGTCTCCAGACTGATTAGCTCCTAGCTGATAAAATTGCTATCAACCTAATAGCCTGGTATTAACTCATATTAGCATTTGTATGCCTTCAATCATCTCAGAAAGAAAAAAACCAACCCAATAATCTAGCCCATGGCAGCATGAAAACCAGATTACAAGAAGGAAATAAAGCAAAATAGGGGAACCAGAGAGAATTTTTAATCTGCCAAAGAAGCATACTTTAAAAAAAAATCTTTTCAGTGTTCAAGGTGGTAGATTTCCAAATCATTAAGTTCATTTTCATAGTGCTGAATGAATTTCCAGTTAGGTAACTGGCAGGGCATGCTGAGAGAACTACTTTTGAAAATGTGTTGTCTTTGGGAGGTCAAATATCTTTTTCCTTAATTTCCATTAGATTCTAAACCAATTTATTTAACTGGCTGATATTTTTGGCTTTTGTGCAGACTTTCTGCTCATATTACTGAGAGCCTAACTTAAAGACATGAAGCAATGCAGTAAAAATAAATAAATGAGGTCACTAGGGAAAAAAAATCTTGATTATAAGAAAGTGAGGTGTGGTCCTGTGAGGAACTGCTCTTTGCACTGACTGTTACTGGGAGTTGTTTATTTTAGAGGGAAGGCGTTGTTCTTGCTAAGGATAACCTGAGCACATACTCTTCCTCTGTGTCTGCACAACTACAGCCCTCCCCCCTTCAGTGAAAGACTAGCATCTTGGTTGTGGGAAGGCAGTTCACTAAGAATCAGTGCCAGAAAAAAGGATGAAAGCAGAAAAAAAAATGTACCACTGACACAAACTGTTTCTATTCATGTTCGGGAAGCACATAGACGAGAAGAAAAGATAATTGGCTGAGAGAAACAAATAAAAATGGTATTTTCTTGCTTTACCTTCTATATTTAGAACACAATAGTGTTAATCAAGATATAATTATAAACTACATCTATTAATTCAAACAATAGAAACCGATACAAAAGTAACAAACAGTGAATCATTTATTTTTTCTCTAAGTGGGATTGTTCCTGTTCACAATTACTCTTGCTTAGTGTGCTTCATTTGTAAAACTGCTTTTTCTGAGTTTCTTTATTAGGATTTCAGTTATTGATAATGGTCCAGATTCTTCCTTGAATTCCAGCCAAGCAAGCCATTGACTTCAGGGAGGTTGCATGAAACTCAGAGGAGCATTTGGCAGAATGCTTTGTAGCCAAATTCCAGTGGTTAAATAAGTCTGCTTGTTCATTTGATATGTTTATAAATGAAACACATAGGTCAAATTTTCAAAGGTCTATGAAGCAGTTGAGCTGAGTTAAATGACCTGCTCACCTGGAAAAAACCCCACAGCTGCCCAAGCAAATCATTTGATTGTATGCTATTTGCCAGTGTGTGCATGCAAATACACTTATTTAAGGTATACAAGCAATTTCTAAGGCTTATGTCTGGCTTTAGCAGTGTTGGGTTTTTGTATAAAAATTAGGATCAGGAAATACATTTTATTCTAATTTTTGTTATCATGTATTTGAATAAACAAAGCGGCGCAGGACTCTCTTCTAAATTTCCAGATATTTGGGTGCACTGAGTTCTGTCCTCACCCTCCCTCGCTGCATGTGTTTCTGTTGCTTAGTTATCTAGTTTTTCTTCAGCAGCCACAGCTAGGCAGAGTAGCATCATTTATCACTATACAGGGTCTGTTTTAAGTTTTCTGTTTCTGTTCCAAATATAAATCTCTGGAATAGCATAGTCTTGCACGCATCAGGCAGTTGTCCTACTGAACTAGCCCGCAATGGTCTTTCTCAGCATGCAGGGTCTTTGAAGATCAAATAAGAAAGGTCAGTCTTTAAGTAACTTAAGCAATGGTGTTACCGTGAAAGGGTCAGAATTGGTCTCTAGCAGTCTTATAGAAAAGTGACTCCTGGGTCACCGGCTACTGTGTTGCAGGTTAGTTCTCTGGCTTCCATTGGTGGTGTTTACAACTGGAACTATCTATATTTATAGGCATTGTGACTTGAATGTCACATGTGTCTTTGTACAGTATACTCTGTTTTGGGAAGGGTAGTGATTGATGTCCATAGCTTTATCCAGTACAGAAGGCTGTTTGCATTATGTTTCCCGTGCTTATTCCTTCCCTTTTTGTATTTGCTTCTTTATTAAAAAGAGCCTAAAACTTCTATTTCATGGGACATGGACACATTTAACGGCCTCAAAATATTTGGATAAGTGGGAGGCAGCATGCCTGTTTCCTAGGAAATGTTGAATTTAGTAAAACAAAGCAACTTCACCCACTTGATGGTCTCCTTGTAAGATACACTATAAACAATGTGGAAAATGCTATTTGTCCCTGGTATTAGAACACAGGAGAGATGGACAGAGGTGTTTTCTAGGAGCATTTTTTTGTGTGTGCATTAATGACTGGAAGAGAACAGTTGTGGCACAACTGTTTGAATCTAGTAATTTAACACTATCCATTTCTGGAATAGTCTTGGAGAGAGTTCTGCATGAATGAATCCTTGAGAAAGTTATGGTTTCTGTGTTTTTACAGTGAATTAAATTTTTTCTTAAAATATGCATGATTTACAAAACATTTTAAAATGCTATTTTTGCTTCCATTTTATAAAATTTGTCTTCACAGATAAGCTTCCGGGTGTTTCTTGATGCACTATATCAAATGTGAAGATCGTTTTGAGGAAAATGAGTCTGATGTTTTCCTGTAGCCCTGACCAATACTGTAGTCTAGATTTGCAGTAATTATTTCTCAGTATAATTGCTGAAATTTCTTTCTCATGAATTCTAAGGGTATATAACAGTCTGCCTTATAAATATGTATAAATAAATATATATAAGTGTTATATCACAGAGGCACTCAGAGGGTTTTTTACTATGTCACTTTGTATGGCTATAGACATTTCAAAGCTCTCCTTTGTGCTCTCTGTTATAAACA